TTATTTGGAATTCACCTCAGTTTGAATATGTAGATTTTGCACTTAATCATCCAATCTTCTGTTTTGATCTATCATCTCATCAAGAAGAATGATAAGAATTGAGTAAAAATACACCCTTAAAAATGAAACCAGAATCTTTAGTTATGAAAATAATACAAGCTATTGAAACAGCTTCCCCAACTGTAATAACTTTCAATGGTAAAAAAATCAGCATAACTAAAAAACGTATTGATAAACACAAATATTGTAAAGTCAGAGACGATATAGACTTAGAAAGAATTGACGCGAACGCAAAATAAAGTGGATTTTTACCTTTCCTACTACCTTTAATATTTGGTGGTATTGCAGCGGCGGGTGCATCAACTGGCGGAATTTCTGCCATAGTCAAAGCTGCCAACGCAAAGAAAGCAGCTGATGCTAAAGCCGCTGAAGAACGCAGACATAATTTAATAATGGAAAGGGAAGCCGAGGGTTCAGGAGTGGGAGATATGATAGGCACAATAAAAGAATTTGGAAAAAGAAACCAAGAAAACTGTTAAACAAGGATTAAATAAATTCGTAGATAGTATTGACACAGGAAAAGTCAAAGTCAAACATAAGGGTAATGGAATATTTTTAAAAAATATACACACTGGAGAAGGATTATTTCTTTCAAAGTATAAAGGAGAAGGAGTGATTTTTGGAATAAAATAAAATAATAAAAAATGGGCAAAAAATTTAATCATTCAGAAATATTTCCTAGTAACCCAATGCTCATGTGTACATGCGATAGTTCCGGTTCTGGGAAAACTCATCCAACTTTTAACATGTTGACAACACCAACCCTTTTAGATTTCGATTCTTTGAATATCTACACAACAACACCAGAGCAATCGTATTATTAATTTCTCAAAGCTTTAGAATATTTACCAAAGAAAGATGTTCAAGACATATTTCAATATTACGAAGAAAACGAAGAAGAAGTGGAAATAAAAGATATCATAGATAACTTCATTAAATCAAAGAATCCAACGGATACAAAAGTTTTTCTTACGAAAAATGTTAATGATCTAGACTTTTCTAATATTGATAGCAATCGAAAGAACTTAATATTGTTTGACGACTGCGCAGCGCAAAGAAATGAAGCTGTTCAACAAGAATTCTTCACAAAGGGAAGACATCACAACTGTCACTGCATATACCAATCCCAATCTTTTTACGGAATGGATTCTATGTTCATTAGAAAAAATGCAAATTGTTTTTTATTATTTGAATTAAACGATAAATATTTATCTCAAATCATTCAATCGATTAATCACGGAATGGACAGAGATGCATTTAAAAAGGTTTGTAAAACTCAATGGAAAAACCCAGATGATCATGGATATATATTCGTTAATACTAGAAAACCTGCAGGTGAAAGAGTTATGACAGATATATGTTAATTTTATTTTTTTAAAAATGAGTAGTGATTGGAATAATATTTTAAAAAGAAATAAAGAATATATCAAAGCTAAGAATAAAATAAAGACCCAAGTTGAAAAAAACAAATAACAACAACTTGGATTAACAGAAAATCTACAAACTCTATTTCAACCAATATTAAAATCTCAAGAGGATATTAAAAAGAAATTAGCTTTAGAATATAGACCTCCTATAGAACCCACACCTCCTATAGAACTTCATCACCCCAAAGCGATTGAATATGGTGGTATTATAATTAGGACAGTAGATGATGTAAAACATTATTTTTCAAACCCTGACCCAGATTTACCAAAGAGCATTTCACCAATCGTTGATGAAGCGGGGCTAATGTTTAATGGTTTTAGAAGAAGATTTAGTCCAAATACCCCAGAATTTGTAATCGATACAAAATATTATATATACACATTAACGAGAGGATTAATAGATTTAATGAATAGCGAGGATGTTGTTGGTATTGCCGATTATAAGGATTTAGTAGCATACTCCAAATTTCTAGATGCAATAAGATAGTCGGGACCCGAAACAAGAACATCGAAAGAAGTTAAAATATATAAAAGAGTAATTGAACGTGATGAAGAGGAGCTAGGTGATTATGCAGAAGATTATCCACCAATCACACAAAATATGGTGGCATCTGGACAAGGTATAACGTTTTTATCCGACAACAACGAGGAACTACTTAATAGATTACGAGTAATATTAGCGGCAATGAAGAAAGGACATCGATCACACAGACAATTTAATGAAGTGAATTGTATACTGAAAAGACTCCTAGAGAAAGTTATTATAGATAAAAATGATTATAAAAGTGTGATTAAATATGTCAAGTAAAGAACAACTATTCGTTATCACCTCAAATAAATCAGACATTAAATTGTCTCTAGATTATGAGTACGAACTCGATCGCAATCAAGAATATGAATTGGGATTAAAGTATTTCTCTGTTTACAATTCCATTAGAAATGCCAACGAAAAAAATAAACAAATAAAAATAACAGATAATGGATTTCGGGGAAGGGAGGGTTTGATTCCCCCAAATGTACAGGCCTAGGGTGGAGCAGACACTTTATTTAGAAATTAGGATTAAGGGTCTTGATATTGGGTTTTCTTCTGTTCTTATTCTGACCTGAAATTAGAAAAAATAACTCGCCCGATGGGCGAGAAGTATAGTATCTGTTATGTACTGATTGTTTTTAGTTTACTATGAACAATATTATCATTTAAGTTCTTATTTTTTGAATATGCAACTATCATTTTCTGCTAATAGACATGGGGGAATTTCTCTTGAAGGCTCTTATAGTGGGCATGAACTATCTTGCTTGCTCGATTGCTGGTTGTATTAAACGGGACAACAAAGGGTGCTATGCCTACATTATGATGAATATTTAGTCCTATAGGTCTTGCTGTATTCAATGTCTCAATCCAATGGGCCTCCCTAGATTGACGGAATTTGGTAGTTTCATCTTCGGGCAAGTCAATTTCTATACGCTCAATTGGGATTAGGGTGAGATCGTCTATTGAAGGTCGTCGAGGTTGAAATGATTAGAAACAGGCTTGTCTTTCTTTAGTTTGATGTCGCATTAAAGCGAGTTCGTAAATTATTCTTAGTTTCTCCTACATTTTGTTTGGGGCATTTCTTGCATGAAATTAAATATATTACATTCGAATGTTCACATGTTAGATGTTCCTGGATCGGGTACCTTTTATTCATAGAGTTGCTTACAAAATAATGAGTTTCTGATATAAAGGGACATGTTTTGCATCTACTGGACAAACATGGAGCACTTCTTAAACCTGGAGGTACTTCGGCATAAAGTCTGTTTTTAGCTGCTATCTGTGCTAAGGTGGAATTTTTTATGTTTCGTAAAAATCGTTTAGAGTACCCACGCTCTTTCAGTTTTGAGAAAACAATCGTACAGGCTTGGTT